AGGACTTTTTTTCTTTTGTTCCCCCCAAATACAGAATTCAGAATCACAGAATGTTTGGAGTTGGAAGGGACCTTAAAGACCATCAAGTTCCAACTCTCCTGCATGGGCAGGGACATCTCCCAATAGAGCAGGCTGCTCAGAGCCCCATCCAACCTGCTTAGTAAGTTGTCAAAATATGTCCTATGTATCAAGTCTTGACAGTGACTGGATTTTTACATTTGGAGGAGAGGTGCTTTGAGTATGTGAGGATCTTATTTGCACCACAGTATTGAGTTTGCTTTCTCAGTCAAGTTTAGCTTTTTCCTTTCATGTCTCTGCACAGTGTTGCTAAAATGACAATAAAGCAAGACGGTAACCTTACATTGCAGGCAGGGCTGCAGGATCTGTAAATAGAATCTGCTCATAACAAATATTTTTAAATGCTGTCAAGCTTCTGACTGACATAATAAATACCTTCAGAGGTATTTGAAGGGGCAGGCTAAGTGCAGTGTAGGTGATCTGACTGGAATATGAAAAGCATTGTGGATGACAAGTTAACTGAATAGAATAAAAGACTAATGGATAGTGATGGAGCAATAAGGCATGGGTCACAGCCCAGGACCTGCACTGCTAATGTGCAGCAGAGCTGCAGGGAGAGATTTTGGAGGGATGGGGCAGTCTCCTTTCTTGACAGGCACCTTGTCCCCATTTGGCACCCCACTGAGCAGCCTCACTAGTCCACTAATCATTGGGAGACACACTGAACACCCCCATGCATCCTGACACACACATTAAAGTATGGGAGATTGTGAAAGGCATGACATTTCTTTCACTGGGAACTGAAATTGGGTATTTGTCCATAATCATAGAATGGTTTGGGTTGAGAGGGAATTTAAACATCATCTAATTTCAACCTCTTTCCATAGGCAGGAACACTTCCCACTAGACTAGGCTGCTCCAAGCCCCATCCAACCTGGCCTTGAACACTTCCAGGGAAGGGGAATCCACAGCTCCTCTGGGCAACCTCTGCCAGTGTCTCACCACCCTCACATGAAACGACTGCTTCCTAACGTCTCATCTAAATATCCCCTCTTCCAGTTTCAAACCATTGTCCCCTTGTCCTATTACTACATGCCATTGCAAAAAGTCCCTCCCTAGCTTTTCTGTAGTCCCTTCAGGCACTGGAAGGTGCTGTAAGTTCTCCCTGGAGACAGACAATATTCTAGAGTCACTGGCCAATTAGGGTGTGAAATGAAAAGGCAGATGGTATAAAAAACCAGTTCTCTGTACAACCTTGTTACCCAAACATTATGCTTCAAGGTAATGCAACACTTCTCTGGAAACAGGCAGCGTCCATGAATATTAGAAAAAAGGTGAGATGCTGATAAAGCTCTTTGCCATGTCTGTAGTTTCCACTATAAAAATACTTTCAAGAGAGAGTCAAGAAAGAGTATATGATCTGATAGGGAGAAAAGTAGAAGGAATGCTGTTTTTGTCTCCTGAAAGACTGGTTGTAATTACAACAGCTGAGAAAAAAGCAGGTTCCTGGCTCATCTCTTTTCCCTCTGTAATACTTCCATCACTGTTTGACATTCTTTTTTATTCAGTAAAAATCTGAAAATCCCTCAGCCACTGTAGGTTTGAGGATTAGAAAAGGAAAGGCTATTCTTGTTCAGCCTGAAGCTCATGGTAGGGGGAATTACCAAGAGTTCAGTACTTGGCCTTGGCAGATACCCAGCCCTCCCCACAGCTACCAACATGTTCTGTTCCTTTTGGCACAAAGCTGAGAAGCAGAAAATACTTGGAATATGATCTTGAGTCCAAAACAACATAAAGCATACTTTTGAATTAAGTTTGTGCTCACATAACTCCTTCAAGCTTCCTTCAACATAAAGATCAGACATAAACCTTTTGGCTGTTCTGTTTTCCAACAATTATCCCTAGACCAGTGGGCCCCATAGACTGAGACAGTAAATGCTTAGGAAATCATGACTGTGTTATGTTATCTTCATTTTCCTTTTGTATGCTTGAAACTTCAAAGCAGCCAGTGTCCTGGAACCCCTGCCCTTTGCTGCAGTACCATAGAGCAGCTGTAGGGAACTTGAGGGGTAGAATGGTTGCTTTGCTACTGCAATAATGATTAGAAAAGCTGCTGAAGATCACTACTAGAATAATCTGAATGAAGCTAGAGATTGAACTTGGTCAACTGAAGCACAAACTTTCCTTGGTGAAATGAAACTTATACCAGTATTTGTATTATTTTTCTTATTACACAGGTGTCAGCATCTCTAATTGGTTTGATACCTTTAAAAATGTTAATAGGACCAAGAATTTTTATGATGTCTCTGAACCTGACCAAATAAGTTTATTTTGGCCAAAATAAACAAAACATGAAAGAAAAGTAGCCCTATTGGTTTGAACTTTTTCTGAAGTTGCCCAGTAACAGATGTTTAAAAGAAAAAGTCAAAAAACATCCTTTCCTTCTAATACCCTCTCTGCTTTTCAAAAGCAACAGTTACTAGGTCCTGAGTTACATGACCAGAGTGTTAAGTTTTCATCAGATCCCCTGTTGTTAACTTATCTAATGCTTTGTCAACTTATTTTTTTAAACAATACCCTGCAATAATGAGCATCAGAATTTTATTAGGCATTGCATGGAAAGGCACTATCTGTTGGCTGATTTAAACTTGACACCCAAAGCTCCATAACTGTGTTTCACATTCCCTGTTTCTGTAACCATCCTGATTTTGTAAACTTTTATTTCAGAAACCATAGATTGGAGAAGTCTAATGAAATGAATTGAAAGTGATGGAAATATTCTAAATCACATTTTTAAGAAATGCTGAATTCATTTTTTGGATGAGGTAATCCACCCAAACTTGGCTTGAAGAAGAACTTTGAAATGCTAACAGGTTTGTCAACTGCACAGCTGAGTGTTCTTAAACACCTTTTCAGTGAGGCACAAGATGATCACCTACAAATGTCACACCATCTGCAATACTTTCTTTGTATCTTACCTCTTGGTATGTGATAAAAATAAGGCATAAACAGATAAAAATGCATAAGACATTTATAGAATAACTAGACAATTCTTTCAGTTTAAAATGTGCTTATGCTTAATTTATCAGTGAACTCTTCATCCCTTAGTACTCTTTCAAACACAAGCCTATATAATATTTTCCCAAAAAGCTTTGAAACTGTGGGGCTATTTTTTAATAGATAAAAGCAAATTTTAGCAAATACTAACACTAGAAACTGTGCTCCCAAAAGGGTACAAGGGTCTTGCTCCGTAACTACACAATTTCCTAAACATTGGAATAAACAGCCATGTGAGGAGGTGGAAGATTAATGTTACATTGATGACAAAAATGGAAAAATAATTTGGGGAATCAAGAGGTAATTAAATTCTTGACAGACTGATTTGAATAAGAACCATTAGTTATATGAATGAATTATTCTCCTGAGGCTTTGATATGTACAGGAAATAGACATTCAACAAGTGATTTTACTGGCAATATAAAGCTTATGATTTCCCCAAATAAGTGGTAACATTAATTTACAGGTTGCAGAGAGTGGTCATTTCAAACTAAAAAACAGAGTTCTGACTCCTGAAGAAAAGCAGTGAGATAAGAAAGTATTTTCACAATACAGTTTGTTATATATTCGATACCAAGTTATCTGAATGTGCAAATAATGTGCAGAGACTGAACTCAGATTTCATGTACCTTCTGAATCTGGAAAACTGGTTTCTCTCAGTGCAATTATTCTGCATTTGCATTTAACTCAGGAACTCTTCTCTAGAGCGGTACCAGGGAAGTATTTGCAAGGCTGAAGTATTATTTTGCTGGTATGTAGAGGCTCGGGACCCACTGCACTTGGAGCTGCACATTCATGGCAAGTGGAACTTTTTATCCTGCTAATCTATTACAGTCTAAGTGAAAGGACAGAATGAACTGGGATAAAGTAGTATTATTCTCATTACAGAGGGAAAATTAAGCAAGGAGAGATTAAGAATGAGAATTTCATACTAGGCAGAGGACCACAGGATTAACAGGTCTGGAAGAGACCTGCTGAACCACTTGTTTTTGTCCTTTCCTAGCACCTATCTACAACTGTAACCTCTCATCACCCGGTTTTGGCCCTGCCCTGTGTTCCCTGCAGCCAAACAGGCCTTTTTGCTGATGGTTTCTGAAGCTCTGTCTCTTGGTTTGCTCACAGAAGTTTTCAGTGGTAAAGCCCATGTGTGGCAATTGGACTGCTTTCAAAAATAAATCCCTGCACATGTCAGGTCAAGTATTCACTGCTGCCACAACCATGAGCTATGTTGCAGCAGAAAAATACACCTCAACAGCCAGGACTGTGGGCATTTCTCATGCTGTAACTCTTGCCAGCCAGATGGCAATGTTCAGGGTATTTGACATCAGGCAAGTGAAAATTGTTGACTGTTTGGGACAATAAAGCAATGAGCAATGCTGCAGAGCACGAACAGTCAGGATGCTGCTTGGTCCAGATAGGAAACGGGCATGTTTGTGTTGGCTGGTCCCTCGTGCCTGCTGTGAAACACACCCATCTTCAATGTCTGTCACAACTATCAAAGCAGAACATCTGAAACCTAAATTTTGCATCTGGGACTCTTTAACATTGAACCATTTGGGTGAAATTTAACATCTTTTGAAGCCAGTGAATTTAGACCTCTTGCTCTATTAATGAAACAAATCTCTGTCTACATTAGTTTTTAACATCTTCCCTAGTCATCATTTAACCACAATCACAGCTACCACAGAATGCTCTTTATTTTCTTAGTATCTTCCAGTTAGGAGGCACTATCATTCAGTATTATTATAAAAATAATATTTAAATATTTAGAAGATTACATCAAACTCTACCCCTATCTATATCTCATTATACTCCAGTTCTTGGTTGCAACAATCTAAATACTCCTTCTGTTAATTTTTTCTCTACTCTGAAACATATAGAACAATTGGAAAGTTCAATTTCAAAAGGTTTCATTATTTACATACCCCTTTTGCATCAATGACACCAGGTTTCGCGTTGAATTTCACCGTCTTCAAACGTGCTCGTTCCTTTCTTTCAACTCTGGGGAAAAGAAAACACAAATAAAGCAATGCATGTGAATTATAGCAGTCTTTTGAATGATATGTTTGATATCTGACCTGAGACCATTGGTGGCTTACTAAGCATAAAGTGAGCATTTAAGGCAAATTATACAAATTGGAAAGAGAGAGATGTCAGGTCACTTCCTCAGCCAAGCAGCAGTTTTCTGGCAAATACAGGGCTGGGTTTGAGGAGCCTTGGCTGTCCTACACCAACAGAACAGCACTCCCTCCCAACACAGATGGCAGCATGGTCAAAACACATTAAGGACAGATTTGTCCTCTCCAATTTAAGTTGAACGAAAAAAATGCAAGATTTAGGGTTATTCTACAGTCAGAGAAATGAAACAGGAACAGAGAATAAGCTGTTCACCTCAGTGCTTTCAGTTGTGCACTTTCTGATGGAAGAAATTTCACAGAACCACAGAATCATCTAGGTTGGAAAAGACTCTCAAGATCAAGTCTAAGCATATACCTAACACTGCCAAGTCCACCACTGAACCATGTTCTTAAGTACTACATCTACAGGGATGGTGACTCCACCACTTCACTGAGCAGCCTGTTCCAGTGCTTTGACAGCTCTTTCAGTGAAGAAACTCCCTCTGTGCAGGCACCTTTTTCTCTTCCTATAGAGAGAACTTTGTTCCCCAGCTTACATAACTGGTGAACTTTGAGATCTTCTAAATAAGGTAAAATTAATTGCACAGTTTCTGAATCTATTTAAAAAAAAAAACAACCCCATGGTTTTGGAGTCATGAACTACTTAAAAAAATACCTTAAAATATCTTGAAATTAGCTTAAAATACCCTACAAAACAGCATATGACACATGACACTGGTGAATGGTGTCTAAGCTCATGGCAAATGCAAAATAAAAAGGATGAAGCTTCACTTGATGGTTTGAGAAGAGGTAAGAAATTCCAGTTGTTGGAAAGGAGAGTCTTGCCCCTTTCCCCTCTACTGCTCCCAACAGTGCCCCTCATTGCTGCCTTCTCCACCACAGAAGACTAGTTCTAGTCTGGCCTCATGAACTGGTCACCCATTAGCAGGTGGATGCATTGGGTGAGTTTATCTTAAATATCAGTTTAATGCAAATAAACCCAGTACACTTTAATCAAAACTGTCAGAAGAGATGAACCAAAGTGCTGAAAGGGAGAGCAACAGGAATATACACTTTGGAAGCTCATTCCCAGCCTGAGCTGATATATCATAGAATCATAGAGGGGTGTAAATTGGAAGAGACCTTAAAGATTATCTAGTTCTAACATCCCCCCTAGATCAAGTTGCTTAGAGCCCCATTCAACCTGGCTTTGAACGCTCCCAAGGATGGGGCTTCCACAACTTCCCTGGGCAACTTGGGCCAGTGTCTCACCAGCCTCACACTACAGAATTTCTTCCTAATGTCTAAAAATAATAGTGGGCTGGGAGTGCCTGTGGGATTGAACCTCTTACGGGGTGAGACACAAGAATTTGCAAAACAATGAAGGAACCACTCGGCTGTAGAGGCCTCAGAGGACACAGTCCCTGTGAGCCCAACCCCTGGGACCTGAGAGCCCAAACTTCCGCATGATATGACCTAAAACTAGCTTTAGTCTGTACAGTTCTAATATTTGTATATTTGAAGTTTAAACGCTCCAATGAAAAGCCTGACAAGAAGCCATGAATGTCCTTACTCACCTGGACTAATATGGTCATTATTGAAAAAATGACATTTACTACCTTTGCAAAATCACCTACAGGATCTATCATCTGCTGGCCCAAACAAAAAAAAAACCAAAACAACAAACCAATCATCTACCTATAATTGAAACAGTAACTCTGTTTGTCTAAAATTAGGAATTGCTCTAGGAAATCTAAGTTGAATCCTGCAAAGCTAGCTTATAAGACTTTGATATTGCATTTTTATTAGACAATAAATAGCTGAGGAAGAAAGTGAGGTTTTTTTAATCCTCCAAACTGGTACAGATATGACCCCCTTTTCTAACTTTCACAGTTTCCCACAAATGACATTAGGACACATTCCTGCAAATCTTTTGGTTTCTAAATCTGGATAGTAAGAATGCCTGGTTTCTGATAATTATTTAAAAAAACCCAAACAAATTCTAGTCTTCTGATAGAATAATTTATACAACATGTTTCCTTCTGTCTGAGAGGAATTATATGTTTCCTACTGAAAAATGGTGAATGCTGGTTACTATCGTTACAGTTTAAATTTAGAATAAATGCATCTCTCTGTAAATGTGGAATATTCACATGGAAACAGCTCAAATGCAACTTTCAAAGTAAATCTATGTTATTAAAAACACATCTACAGTTTTAGACTTAAACTAGCAGATGAAATCCCTTGATAGTACTGGTAAGAAATGAAGACCTGAGGCTGTGTAATTGCCTAAATAGGATGGATGCCTTCTGAGAAAATAATTAGCTCAAATGAACACAGTATTCATCTTATTAATCTGTGTTACTATATAAACTCATTGCAGTCCTGTCTAACTTCCTAAAACATGCTTTTAACTTAATTTCTTATTCGCTGTGTAAAGAAATTAGGGAATTAACCCTGAAGAGTGGATCTTATTTATGAAATTCGTCATGATTGCATTACCAGCCACTTGCTGCTTTCTTCAGGCACAGCAGACAGAGAAGGAGCTGCAGAAACATTCTGCATTGCTTTGAGAAGTATATAAATAATGTTATTAAGTGTCATTAATCCTCCAAGCAAACATACCAACAACGTACATACATGCTCAGCATGCTTGCTGGATACTACAAACATTTCATATCTGGGGCTGTATTAAGGACAGCACCTGGTGTTGCCTCCCATTACAATTTTCCTGACACCTTCCACAATAAAACTGTTCTCAGTCACTTATAATTTTGCTGAACTATAAACTTCCACGCTGAAATCTCATGTGTTGTAGGGTGATTACATTGGTGTTGCTGCCCAAAGGGTCAACAAAATGTACTGACTGTCAGGAAAAGGCTAGAATAAAATGACAGTTTATAACATACTCTTTAAGCACTGCAGCTCAGGCACTTGACTCCCTTCATGTCTTGGGTCTGTGACTTGAAATATGGCAGGGGTTTGCTCTGGCATCAGGAATATACCTCTCTGGTCTGGTATCTCTGGCTGGTATCAGAAATATACCTGAAGGAATCAAAGCAATATCTGAATGCCTGAAAAATTTTGGTTTTTGCAGGTTCCAGAGAACTCTGTTAGCATTTAGCTTGGTTCTCTATAGATTTTGTCATTGCTGAGGTGCAGGACTGCAGTCAACTAGGATGTTCCTATAATTTCTCATTTGAGCTGGCAGGACACTTTTGCCATAGACAGAGCTATGAGGAGAAGAGACTTTACAGAGAAGAGAACATATTGCATTCTTCCAGTACCAGGAAAGCTGGAGAGGGATATTTTACAAGGGCATATAGTGGCAGGACAAGGTGGAATGGTTTCAGGCTGAAAGAGGGCAGAATTATATTAGATATTAAGAAGGAATTATTTCCTGTGAGCGTGGTGAGAAACTGGAACAGGTTGCCCAGGGAAGCTGTGGATGCCCCAACTCTGGAGGTGTTCAAGGCCAGGTTGGATGTGGCTTAGAGCAACCTGGTCTAGTGGGAGGTGTCTCTGCCCATGTAGAGGCATTGGAACTAGATGATCTTTAAGGTCCTTTCCAACTCAAAACACTCTGTGATTCTGTTTCTAAAAAGGGAATTAAAACGAGAGTGATAAAATGTATGGAATATCAATTCTTTTAGCATCATTGATCCACCCCTTAGAAAACACATTTGTTTAAAGGAACACTAATGTAAGCACTTTTAGCACTTTGTTTCTGAATCTTCAAGTTTGTAGGTGCTACATTTAAGGAAAAATACACTTGACTTCCTTTTTTCATCAAGAAAAAGGGAGTTTAGGCACAAAAGGTTTCTTGATGCAGCTGACATTATAAATATCTATATAGCATAGGAGTGTAAATTCTTCATATTGCTTTAACTGACAGCAAAGCTGCCATCTCTTGGACAACACTTTGATCAATCAGCTGAGGAAATTTATTTAAAAAAAAAGAAATGTTTCATTTCAAACTGTATCCCTTTTTCATCTATCACTGCCACACAAAGCAGGATTATGGGGATTTGTGTTAAAAATGAAGTGAAGGGGGAGAATTCTCATCTGCCAATTTGCAGAGGCCCAAATCTGCAACCCTCACTTGCCTGATGTAATAAACACTGCTCCCATGTCCCTTTCCAATTATGTATCTTCATGATGGAGCTATGCTTGAGGGATGGAGGAAAGCGCAAATATGATTTCCAAAACTGCTTCATGGCTCAAGTCCCATTTGCAAAAGTGCCTGGAGGTCACTGGAGGTCAATGAGATTTCAAGAAGAGTTCAAAGACACCTGCATCCAGCATTCAAATGTGACTTGGGAGCTGAAATTCTCCGAGTCCCACATGGAAATAGCATTGCTTATCACAATTGATGGGGATTTCACCTCCAGCTTTCCCCCACTCTTCAAGTGTAGCTCCCTGTAGAAATACTTCTTCGTACAAGGAAATGGTCTAAGAACATCTGAGATCCTGGACAATTGGATACTGTATACTTCTTTGAAATATAAACTCTTGAAATATATAGACTCTTGAAACCTGTCTTGGTAGTTCACAACTGGCCCATTAAAAAAAAAAAAAAAAAAAAAAGTTTGAAATCTATTCTCCTCTTCCTATGTACAGCTAAAAAAAGTGGAGAGGTACATTGAAAATCTACCTCAGCCTTCAGTGTTCCCTCACTAGCAAGCTCAAGACCTCAGTGATTTGGGACGCTGTTCTCTTCTTACTCCTCTTTTGAAGAACTAACTACAGGGATGCAGCACCCACTGCACCACAACATCTACCTTCCTTTACCATCTCTGGGCACATGTTGCTATTGAAAATGGGCATATCTCAACCAGACATGAGCTGCCAGCAGGACTTCTGTCAGTGCCTTTCTAAAAGCAG